ACAGCTCTGTCAAGGATACCCTCGGAGCCTCAGCACCTGCATCCAGGGGCCCGAGGGAGGGACTGACCCCTCAGCCTCCCAGAGTGACAGTGAGATAGGCCTGGCTGACAGCACCTCCCTCTGACTCCCCAGTAGGTGGACACCCACTCTCTGCTTTCCGCCCTGCTGTATCGCTGAGAACTGCCTCGTTCTGAATTGCTATCACCCCGGTCAGCCTTCAGGAGCCTTGAAGGGCAAGTGCGTAAGAGCACGGATCTGAAGCCTGAGCCCAAGTCCCAGCCCTGCTGAGGATTAGCTGTTGGGCGTATTCCTTTGCCCATCTGTGCCTCAGTGTCCCTCTCTGTAAAATGGGGGTAATAATGATAGCACCTGCCTCCCAGACATATCGTGTGATTGCTAAAGGATTCAATTCACAGTGGTTAGCACAACACACTCGGTCCACATTTGCCAACCTCTTTCCTCACCATACAGGGTAAGAGCAGTTCCCTTCACCTTCCACCAGCTCCTGTAGCTGGATTATCACCATCCAGGTTGCCTTCTCTGGCCCAACTCCAGGCATCCAAGCGTACAAACATTCAAATCTTAGCTCTTTTGCTTCCTCAGTACATAGCCCTTGAGTCAGGGTGGTGTCTGCTGCTATAACAAGAGAGCTCCTATACTCGGCAGCCTACTACAACAGACTGCTGCTGGCTCACAGGAGGTGCAGAATGAGGAGCCCTCGCAACACCCCGGGGACCCGGGCTCCCGTAGCTCCCCCATCTTTGAGGGTCTGGGGCTCCTCTGCACCACTCAGAACACAGAAGGGAGAAGAGAGACACGAGCCATCTGAAAGGCCCCGGCCAGGCAGTGACGCATCATTTCTGCTCACCTCACACTGTGGGAAACAGACCCGTCGCCTCCTGGACGCAGGGGAGGTGAGCAGCGTCCAGTAACAGCTCTGCACACAAGAGGAAACCTGAGGTTTTGCTGTAAACGTGACCTCCCGGTCCTCACTCTCCATCCTTCAGATGGAAACATGGCTCCGTCTTAGCGGTGTTTGCACAGTTCTCACATTGACTACAGCACTGAATGTTCGCTCACGGAGGGTGAATTGTATAGTCAGTTACGTCTCAGTTAAGATGTTTTTGTCTCCCCCTCAAGGTACTTATGAGGCTCAGAGAGTGAAAGTTTGCCAAAGTGGGGTGGGGGAGGTCCCAGAGTAGCCTCAGCTGAGTTGTGCCCTGGGTCTAACTCCTAACAGTGGCACCCAGCTCAAGCCACCCCCCGCAGGAAATGAGGGGCAGTTCAGTCTTGCTTCTTGCTTGGGACGCACTACCTCCCCCCACCCCCGTGGCCCTCCCGGCAGCGGCGGAAGACCCAACCCGCAGGGTCAGAGCCCTCGTGGTCAGAGCCACAACCACTGCCGTGAAGACTGGGTGTCACCCTCTGCCTTCAGCCACACACACAGGAAGTGGAGGCCCCCTCAGGGTCAGCGAGGACACACGCTGGAGGGGCAGGGCGAGCAGGGTTCCCTGGGCCAGCACAGTCAGCTTGCGTGTGGGCAGATGCAGGGCAGGCCAAGGGCGGGGGTGGGGCCAGCCAGGGCCCCTCGCCTGGTGCTGGGGAGTCCTCGGCCGCACCCCCGCATGGAGCCGGTGGTAATGGTGGTCAGGTGCTGGCTGATGCCAGGCGTCCACCCCTCGGCCCCCCAGGGAGGCGCGTGTCTTACCTTACTCTGGGCCGCAGTCCCCATCTGAGGAAAGCGCCCGCGTGCTCCCATGCCTGTCAGGAGCCCTGCGTGAGTCCACACAGCAGCGGGCGCCCCATCGGCAGCCGCTGAGCGAATGCCCCCGTGTCCCGCCGAGGCGCCGCTCTCTCCCAGACCCGTGTCCCCACTTGGATACTAAGGGGTCTGGATGGGCCAGCTCGACACTCTGGATTGAAACAATGGAGAATTAAGAGGACCCGCTTCAGCGCCAGCCCCAGCACTTTGGGCAAGTTACTTAGCCTCCCTGGGCCTTATTCCCTTCACCCCTGATCTGGGGACATGACAAGACGTACCTCGTAGAGCTGTGAAGGCGAGAGGAGCTCATCCTGAGAACAGGGCCGGCAAGTAGTAAGGACAGGTGAGCTGCTGCTCCGAATGTTAGTATCTCATGGCTGTGGAAGTTGAGGTCCAGAGCAGTGATGTGACTCGCTCAAAGTCACCAGCTAAAAAGTGGTGCACATTAGGATCCAGACCAAGGCCACTGAGCCCAAGGCCCGTGCTGCTCCCATCACTCCCTACTGCACCCCTTAAGTCACATGCGCCCTAACTGGGTCAGAAGCAGTGTGCACCTGGGGGTGACGCAGCCGCAGGGGCAGGTGTGTGGGTTATTCCACAGTAGAGAACAGACCTGCGGGGAAAGGGATGCTGGCATGGGAGGAGTGGGTGAAAGTGGAACCCCCAAAACGGGGCTCCAAGAGCCAAGGGGATGGATGAGAGAGAGTTGGGTCTGATCTGGCTAGACGAGGGGGTCTGTTGGAACAGACACAACTGACACCCCAAGGTCATCAATAGGAACCCTGAGAAAGACAGACTGTTTGAACCCCAGGGCTCAGTACAGCAGGAACTGGCATGGGGGGGCAGGCAGGGAAGGCTTCCTGGGGCTAGGGGGTGAGGGGGCTGGGAGGCTGAGGATAACGAGACACAGGAGGTGGACATGGAGCAGGGCCGGGTGCATAGGCAGCGGATGGCCGAGGAGATATGCAAGGCCCAAGAGAGGCAGGGCAGTGGTGAGAACACAGGCCGAGCCTGGGACTAAGGGGGCGAGTGGGGGGCCCAAGCCTCGGCGGCTGTGTCCCTGGCCCGGCTCCGTGCCCACCCAGGGCAGCTGGGAGAAGTCAGGCACCCAGCAGCCCCTGAGAGGAGGGAAGAAGGGCATCCTGAGACTCCAGCTCCCGGGCTCGCGGAGGCAGCCCAGAGCCACCGGCAGGGCATGACTAGGCCCCCCCCCCCCCCGCCCGTACACACGTTCACATCTCAGCAGCCAGTGGGGAGTCCGCACGCGGGGAGAAGTAGGTCAGCGGGGCAGCCGGCAGCTCTCCCTGGCCTGGAGGAGTTGGAGGCGAAGAGGGTGTGTGTGTGCTCATCAGAACCCTCCGGGACAGCCCTGCACACCCTCGAAAGCCCCCAGGACTGAGCCCCAAGCAGTGGCCTGGGGTTTTTCACTGGGGTTGGGGGAGGTGGCCCATTCCACTGCAGAAGCCAGGGAAAGAGTCGCGGAGAGCTGTCACTGCTCAGCCCACCGGTGACTGCGGCAGAAGGACGGAGGGCAGCACGCGCCAGGTCACGCCGGGCCGGGCACCCGAGGGCGGAGACGCAGGCCGGTCTCGAGGGCCGCACCACGCCTCCGTCGGGGCTGTGCGTGGCGGGTCCTGGCTCAGACTAGACACTCCCAGGGCACCCCTTTCAGAGGCCCAGGAGAGGAGGGGCTGGGGGGAAGGTTCTTGCAGAGCGGGACTTGTTCATGAATGGGGGGAGGGGGCTGAGGGGGGAGCAGGATCCTCAGGAAGCAGGAGGCCTGGCGGGCGCCAAAGCGGGGAGGGGCCCTGCTCCCAGCCAGCTGGGAGGACGTGCAGATGGAGCTCGTTTGGGGCTGGGTGGGAGGCCAGGAAGTTCCCTCCTGATGTTCCTCCTCTCCGTGTGAAGTGGGAGGCTGGGTCGTGCTGAGAGGGAAGGGGATGCAGAGGAGGAGAAGGGGCTGGAAGGGGAGCTGCTGGGCCAGGTCTAGGAGGGCGCCCCCGAGGGCTCAGCCCCGGCCCAGCCTCGGGGTGCTCGGCGGGGGGGTACAAACCATGCTAAGGGGGCCCAGACATACACAGAGAACTTGGGGTGACCCATCCCCGAGCCCTCCATATCTGCTAGCTCGTTTAGTCCTTACAACCGGCCCTTTGTATAGAGGAGGAAACTGAGCCACAGGAGTGACGCAACTTGCCCGAGGAGCTCCAGCTAGCAAGGCAGAGCTGGGCTCCACCCCAGGCTGTCCGGCTCCACACTGGCTTTCTCAGGAACCAGGTCCTTGGGGTCACTTGCAGGGGGTGGGGCTGCGGGTGCCGAGAGCTGGCCTCGCCACCCGTGCTTGGGAAGTCTGCGCACCTGCTTCTGGGCACTGGCCCCAGGCTGGCCCTCCCCCACTAGACAGACCAGAGCACAGGCCCCGAGGGGCCTTCTCTGCCACCCAGCCCGGTTATACCCCACTGGAGCGCTGCACCCCCACACCACCCGGAGACAAACCCTGGAACCCCCGAGGAGTGGGCGCGCCCAGGAAGCCCGCCCCAGCTTACATGGACGCTGGCTGGGAGTGTGGCGAGCAGGCGTGGGGCTGTGCCTGGCTGGCATGTCAGCAGTGGTTGTACCCCGCTGGCTGGCGCTGTGGGGGGAGGCTGCAGCGTGAGGCCATGTCTGCAGCGCGCTGCGTGAGACCACGCGGCTGAGCACCCGCCACTCAAGCCGGCCCTCAGACGGCCCCTTCCCCACAGCCTGCCTTCTCTTCTCTGCGCGCACACAGTGTAACACGTGTGTTCTCTATGCCGCCCATCTCCCCCACGCGCCAGAACCTAAGGCCCACGAGGCAGGGCGTCTTCCTCCTTCCCCCAGTGCCGTGTGCTCGGACTCCACACCCCGGCACCCGACGGGGCCAAGCAGTCCCCACACGTGTGCAGTCCGCACCCGACCTGTCCACGTGTGACGCGAACACGCGTTCCTAGCCGCACCCTGCGGGGGTGTCCGGAGACAGACGCCTGTCTGTCAGTGGGGCTCGGCTGGGGGCCGGCGACTGTGACTACCTCGGGGGGTGCTGGCTCCGCCTGCCCTGAAGCTCGGGGGGAATGGGGTGCAGCAGAGATGCTTGTTGCCCTCTCGTGGGCATCCGGAGCTTGGCTACGGGCCCAGCCCCAGCGATCCTGGTGCTGGAGGGAGGGAGTGGGCCGAGGAGGGGCCTGGCCTGATGACACACTCCGTGCCGCTCCCTCCTGGCCAGGGAGAAGATGAGCGTGGGCTGCCCCGAGCCAGAGCCGCCCCGCGCCCTGCCCTGCTGTGGGCCAGGGACTGCCCCTGGGCTGGGTGCAGGCGTGCCCCTCCTCACGGAAGACATGCAGGCGCTGACCCTGCGCACGCTGGCCGCTAGTGACGTCACCAACCACTACGAACTCGTCCGGGAACTGGGCAAGGGCACCTATGGGAAAGTTGACCTAGTGGCCTACAAAGGCACAGGTGAGTGTCTGCAGGGTGAGCAGGGTGGGGACTTGCTGGGGCTCTGGGCTCTGCGTGGGGACCAGGAGGCCAGCGGGGAAGCAGAGTCTGGGGTCCAGGTAGAGAAGCAACCCAGGGAAGAGCAGGCAGCTTGCCGAAGGAGGAGCCTGAAGGCAGGGTGACCGGACGGGGGGTGCAATGCTGGGGGACCGCTGGGGCTTTGGGGATGGCCAAGGGGATGCACCCGGGCACATCTGGGGCTCAGGGAGAGGTCAGATCTGGCCGTGGTGTTTGTGGGGTCACTGCATTGTGGTGACAGCAGAACCCAGGGAGGTGGACAGAGCTGAGATTAAGTCCTCAAGAACAGGGCATGGTGTTTCGGGGATACGAGGACCCACGTGAAGGGTTCAGTCACTCAGCCAGGGTCATGCAGCTACAGAGTCTGAACTCGGGTGACATCCCACTGGCTAGCCCAGACTTTCTCTCTAAACCAGGGCTTGATGCCTCCCCACACTGTAGGCTCAGAGAGGTGTCCTCCGGCCAGTCAGAGACAGGGGCGTGAGCTCACCGCCTCAGTCCCGCCCCTCTTCAGGGCTGGTTCTTGTCATTCATTGAACGCATCCGCTGAGCAGCTACTGGGTGCCAGCCTTCACCATGGGTGCTAGAAAAGCCAGCGGGAACAAGACAGAATCCCATGTCTGAGGAGCTGCAAGCTAACTGGGGGGCACACGGGACAAATGAGTACATGACGCGGCAGGAAGAGACGCGAGAGTGGAATAAGCGGGGGCTCTCCTTTCCCGGGGGGTGCGGAAGACCCTGCTGGCGCCGGTGGGGGGGCCTCCGCCCAGGCCCTTCCCTCTGGCCTCGGGCTCCTTTCTGGTCGAGGCAGACGGCCGGGCCCTGGCCCTCGGAGCTGGCGCCCGGGCTGGGCCTGGGAACCAGGCCAGTGGATGTGCGGGTGTCGGAGCACAGGGAGGGGTCCTCACCCCTCCTGTTGTCGCCACCCATCAGGCATGAAAATGGCGCTGAAGTTTGTGAACAAGAGCAAAACCAAGCTGAAGAACTTCCTGCGGGAGGTGAGCATCACCAACAGCCTCTCCTCCAGCCCCTTCATCATCAAGGTCTTCGACGTGGTGTTCGAGACGGAGGACTGCTATGTCTTCGCCCAGGAGTATGCGCCTGCCGGGGACCTGTTTGACATCATTCCTCCCCAGGTACCTGCTCTGGGGGGCTTCCCCACGAGGGTCAGACCCATCAGACCCCTCCTGCCATCCATCCGCTGTAGGTCAGCCCTGTCGGGAGGGCTGGGTTCACAGTGAACAAGACACAGGTTCCACACCCATCCTCGCCCCTCGCTGGGAACAATGCACTAAGCCAGATAACACACTGAGAGTGTGGAGTCCAGCAGCTGCCCAGGAAGGGGGGCGCCAGAGGCAGCCCCTCTGGGGTACCCCTGAGTGGGAAGGCATCAGCTCTGCCGGATGGGCCGCAAGGCCTTCCCCCACCCCACCCCCACCTTACCCGCCCCCACCTCCATGAAGGAAAAGCACATAATAGTCGCCGCTAGGCGGTGCTGGTGAGATGGTACAAAGTACTTAACACAGCACCCACACCCACCTCCACACCCCCACCTGCAGCAGGTTGTGCAGTTACTGGGGGAAAGGGTGAAGGTGAAAGCCGGGGGTCAAAGAGCAGAGGGAGCTGGCGGGGGCGCTGGCACCCAATGGAGTCTGGCCGCCAGCAAGAGGCCAGACCTAGCCCCAGCCCAAGGCAAGGGAGGACGCCAGCTCCTGGCCCCAGGTGGAAATGGAGCCCGGAAGGCCCGGTGGCGCCGCAGGTGCGAGGGCTGGAAGTAGGGGGAAGGGCGGGAAGGAGAAGGAAAGGCGCGAGGGGCGGCGCACCTGAGCGTGCTCTCCCCGCCTGCCACAGGTGGGGCTCCCGGAGGACACGGTGAAACGCTGCGTGCAGCAGCTAGGCCTGGCGCTGGACTTCATGCACGGGCGGCAGCTGGTGCACCGCGACATCAAACCCGAGAACGTGCTGCTGTTCGACCGCGAGTGCCGCCGCGTGAAGCTGGCCGACTTCGGCATGACGCGGCGCGTGGGCTGCCGCGTGAAGCGCGTGAGCGGCACCATCCCCTACACGGCGCCCGAGGTGTGCCAGGCGGGCCGCGCCGACGGCTTCGCGGTGGACACGGGCGTGGACGTGTGGGCCTTCGGCGTGCTCATCTTCTGCGTGCTCACCGGGAACTTCCCGTGGGAGGCGGCGTCGGGCGCCGACGCCTTCTTCGAGGAGTTCGTGCGCTGGCAGCGGGGCCGCCTGCCCGGGCTGCCTTCGCAGTGGCGCCGCTTCACCGAGCCCGCGCTGCGCATGTTCCAGCGCCTCCTGGCGCTCGAGCCCGA